ACCTAAAGAATCATCCCCATTAGATTTAGACAGCATCCATGGCTATCTTTATATCTGTATTGCAGTGGACTCTGTGAGTGATTTAGAAGTAAGAAACCATCTTTAAAAGAGGTGAGATCACTGAAGGCTGTTAGCATTAGCCAAGATTATGTACACAATCCAAATGTCCAGTAACAGAGATGACCTCTGTGTGTGTGTGTGTGTGTGTGAGAAAGAGAGAGAGAGAGAGAGAGAGAGAGAGAGAGAGAGAGAGAGAGAGAGTTGTGGTCTTTATATACAATGGAATGCAACTCAACTATAAAACATGAGACTTTACTTTGTGTTAGGATTAAAATAGAATATAAAAGGGGTCATGTTAAGCCAGATAAATCAAAAGAAGGACAAATACAGCATATCACTCATTTGTAACATATAAAGAAACAAAGCAGGGGATGGTTCAGTACAAAATTATATCAAACCCTTGGCCTTTGACTGCAAAACTGAGGTTACCCAGCAGTGGGGAGAGGTGGACTAGATGTGACAAAGGGTGGAGGGTCTTTGGCATTTTGGTGGTGATCAAGGCACAGTAACTTTGTTCTGTTGTGGTTGTTGTTGTTGTTGTTGTTAGTCTTTGGTTTTTGGTTCTTGTTTTTTAATTTTATTGAATCACTATTGGGCTGGAGCGATAGCACAGCGGTAGGTTGTTTGCCTTGCGTGCAGCCAGCCCGACCCAGCCAGGGTCGGTTCCTCTGCCCCTCTTGAAGAGCCCGGCAAGCTACCGAGAGTATCTTGCCCACGTGGCAAAGCCTGGCAAGCTACCGTGGCGTGTTCAATATGCCAAACACAGTAACAACAAGTCTCAAAAAAAAAAAATGGAGACGTTACTGGGCCCGCTTGAGCAAATTGATGAACAATGGGAGGACAGTGTTTTGTTCTGAATCACCATGAGATAGCTACAAGCTTTCATGTTTGGGTTACAATCACACAATGATCAAACACCTATCCCTCCACTAGTGCACATTCCCCACCACAATATCCCCAGTGTACCCCCCCCTTCCCACCCTCCCCCTGCCTCCATGGCAGACATGATTCCCCATAATCTCTCTCTACTTTTGGGCATTATGTTTTACGATACAGACACTGAGAGGTTATCATGTTTGGCCCTTTATCTACTTTCTGCACACATCTCCCATCCCGACCGATTCCTCCAGCCATCTTTTTCTTAGTGATCCCTTCTCTATTCCAGCTGCCTTCTCCCCTTTGCTCATGAGGCAGGCTTCCAGCTATGGAGCAATCTTCCTGTCCCGTGTATCTACTATCCTTAGGAGTCAGCCTCATGTTAATGTTGTCTTATACTCCACAAATGAGGGCACAGTAACTTTGTACCTATCAACACTAACACTACTGTGATCACGTTACCCCAATGATAATTTAAAAAACAAAGAGCTGGGGGCCGGAGCAATAGTACAGCAGGTAGGGCGTTCACTTTGCACACGGCCAACCTGGGTTCAATCCCTGGCGTCCCATATGGTCCGTCTAATACTGCCAGGAGTAATTTTGAGAGTGTCGAGCCAGGAGTTACCCCTGAGCATGGTCGGGTGTGACCCAAAAGGAAGGGAAAGAAAGAAAGAGAGAAAAAGAGAGAAAGGAAAAGGCAAAATGAGTTTTTTGTACGTAAAAATATACAACATGTGCATTATTGTGGTTTAATGGCAGTATATGTGAATTGCAAGGACGCACAGCCTTAACATGTTTACATTTTTCACAGTCTGCCAAATTAGATATTATTTATTGATAAAGCCTAAATACAACATGGCTTTCTGTCAAACTGAAGATGTTAAAAACAGCTGGTACCAAGAGAAGGAAAGTAAATTATTCATAGGCATTTCATTTGTGGTTTTGCCATCTTTTTTAAGTTACAGAAAAGTCACAATGGAAATTCTTCCCTCCCATCTTGGCTTCTGCTATCAAGCACCTACCCCACTCAGCTACCATGAAAATATTCTCTGTAATTACTTTAAGAGTAAGCCTACAGCTTTGATCATTGCAAATGTGTAATATGAAGGAGGGTGTTTACAGCGCAGTCTGTGATAAGGTGAACGCAGTGCTTCCCCTGATGTTAGAAAGTGTTGAGCAAATGAGCTGCCAGAGAGTAGAATCAAAAGTCTCTAACAAAGTCAATCAATCTACTTAATATGGCATCCTAGTCTCAGTTTTCCTTACTACAAATTTTCTGGCAGTCTAGGGAAGGAGGATGGCCAAGCTGGGGCCAGGAGTGTTACCTCAAGACCACAGGGGCTCCTTTTGATAGTGTCTTGTTTTGTTCTGTTTTGTTTTGGGGTCAGACCCTGCGGTACCTGGCATTGTCTGTACTCCAGAGTCATTCCAGCTGCTGGTAACCCAACCCAAGTCTCCTTCCTACGAAGCAGACCATCTGTGCGGTCCATCTGTCCATCTTTAAAGTTCTGATATCAGAGTCACATGCACATGAGTCATGGCTGTGCTTCCATCTTTCCTTCCCACTCCCTCCCCTTGCCTTGGCCTTAGTACATTGTTTTTCTTCTCAACTCATTCTTACGCTTTGCTCCACAGCTCTCGGAGGCCTTTGTGACCCCACATCTTGATGCCAAATGAGGTCCACCTCTCCTATGCACTCCAGTGTCCGCGCTCACATTCGGGGGAACAGAGCACCAGTATTAATCCTATTTCAGGAGAGACACCCGAGCCAGGGAGACTGTCTGGTTTTAAGCATCAACAAATGTATGAAGAGATGTTGGGCTGAGAGATAGTATAGTGGCTGGGGCACTTGCCTTGCATGCAGTGGGTCTGTTTCCATCTCTGGGTCAAACGCATGGTCCCCTGAGCACGCCCAGGTGTGAATCCTGAGCTCAGAGCAAGGACTAAGCCCTGAGCACAGCTGTGTGTGGCCCCCAAACAAAAGCAAAACCAGGAGAGAGGAGATCTCACTTTCCATTCTGCCACCCTAGCCTGGCCCCAGAGCCTGGGCAACTGAGATGCTTAGGGCTCATCAGTGAAAAGAAGCATATTAGAAATAAGAGGAATTGATGAGCAGACTCAATCTATATTTCCACAAATACCATCCCTAAAAAGCAAGCAATTTGGGACAATTTGGGATTTTTTGGTTTATTTGGTATTTGTTTGTGGGCCACACCCAGCAGTGCTCAGGGCTTACTCCTGGGTCTGTACTCGGGGATCACTTCCTGTGGTCTCAGGGGACCATCTGTGGTGCTGGGGATCAAACTAGGTCAGATGTGCAAGGCCAGCACACTGTCCTCTGTACCAGCTATACTGCTCACTGGCTCCTTAGGACAATTTTGAAAGGAAATAAACACCTAGGGAAAAATGTGGTTTCCCTCTCAATAGGGTCAGGCCTGTCAGTAGATTATCATAACTTAGGTAAATAGCACAGCAGGTAGGGCGTCTGCCTTGCAGGCGGCCGACCCAGATTTAGTTTCTTTGCCCCTCTCAGAGAGCCCGGCAAGCTACCGAGACTATCTTGCCCACACGGCAAAACCTGGCAACCTACCCATGACGTATTCAATATGCCAAAAACAGTAACAACAAGTCTCACAATTTGTTGTAAGACATTACTGGTGCCCGCTCAAGCAAATCAGTGAACAACAGGAAGACAGTGACAGTGACAGGTAAATGTTGGTAGAAGTTAGCAAGGTGAGAATGCTAACTGCTTTCATGGTTTACCAGGAATTCTTGGGACAGGCCTGTTAGCTTCTTTATGAAAAGTTTTGGATAGGCGTTTCCCTTTGCATTTCAGCAAGGAGAAAGAGGTGCTAAATGTTGGTTCCCAAAACTTCATTCCTACAGAAGAACATGGTAACAACACAAATTGTTGTTACCTCTCATGTCTTACGATCTTGTTCTTCTAGAGCCATAGAACCAAATGAAGACGCATCCGCACATGCGTGCGCGCGCGCACACACACACACACACACACACACACACACAGCCCCATATCCTCACTTCCATGAACTCACACAGTTTTCCCAGAATCTTTGAGTCATCATCACACCCTATTTTGAGTTTTCTTACAATTAAAAAAAAAGCCTCTAGCAACTTGATTTCTGCTGCTGTTGTTTTCCATATTTTTTAATAGAACAGCTAAAGACCATTCTTTAACCAGTCTAATAACTTTAAACACTCTTGGGTCTTTATTTGTTCAACTATTAATTTTTTAACGCCTGTTATACCGGTCAGCCTCTTAAATGTTTTTAAATATTTGACCCAACTTAGGACAGTTTACAAACCTATTCATCATCTAGTGGTTGGTTTGTTTCCTTAAGTGAAATAAATCCTACATCAGAAGCTCAAGTTCTGAAAAAATAAAAATAAACTGAGATCTGAGTCATGTGAAATTAAAACAAAAACAAAAAACAGTACTGTAAATAACATCTTAAGTGCCTCAATTCACAAATTAGTTGTCTTTGTCACACAAGTTCCAGTGGTTTAGGAAGTGGCTTCATCTAGGAATTACCTTGTCTCATAGCAGCTGCTCTTTCCTATTTTGTGTTTCTTCTGTTAAAATACAAAGGCTTGTTTTGCTTTTTAATACATACTTTCCTAGGTCAGACTTTATTTTCTTTAATTTATGGCTTGGGGCTCACATCAGCTCCACTCAGGGCTAACTCCCAGTTCTGACTTGCGTGCGAGGCAAGTGCCTTAACCCCTCAGCTACTAGTCCACATGTGGGGGGGGGACTTGTAGGAGGAGCACACCCAAAGGTGCTCAGTGTGCACTCCTGGCTCTGTGCTCAGGGACCACTCTTGGCAGTGTTCAGGGACCATATGGGATGCTGGGGATAGTACCTGAGTCTGTGACATGCAAGGCAAGCACCTGCTGTACTATCTCTGTGAACCCAAGGGTGGTTTTTCAGGTACCTCAGATAAGTCAGTAACACCTAATCCAATCAGAAACTTAATCATATTAGATTTGGAATCGAACATTGTAAGTAACCTCTGAGTAAATCTGAAATTTTCCTTTTGCAGATGCAAGTATTGGCATTACGATGAAAACCTGCTCACTTCCAGTGTTATCATTGTCTTCCATAATGAAGGATGGTCAACCCTCATGAGGACAGTCCACAGTGTAATTAAAAGGACCCCAAGGAAATATTTGGCAGAAATCGTGCTAATTGATGATTTCAGTAATAAAGGTAATGAATGGCCCTAGGACTGACATTTGGTCTATAAAATAAGTTAATTATGAGTAATTGCAAAAATGTGATTTTAAAGGTCTTTAAATTTTAATGATGAGCGTCTATTGATGCTGGTATCAACAAGCTGGCACTAACCCAAGTATTCTATGTGAGTCATTTACTGCTGACAATTAATCCCTACAAAGGATAATGCTATTATATTCCTCTTATGCCTGAGGTTCAGAGTTGTTAAAAGAACTTACTCAACAGTATAGGTACTTAATAGCTGCATCCAGAGTGACAAATTAAGAAGTCTGTGTATTTAACTGTCATTGTATGCTGTTCCAGATGTTTGGTTCTTACATTTGCAGAAGTTTATTCCTAGATGTATGGAAAGACTGAAAACAACACAATTGTACATGTTCCATGATACTATCCCCATGATTCTGAAGCACCATCTGAGCTGCACACTGAAATCCATATACTCGCTTGGTGGCTTGAAATTTGTGTTTGAATGCTAATACAACAGTTGAATTGGACCAGAAACCATGGAGAAATATTTACTAGGCCAGAGAAGTCGTACAGGGGTTAAGAGACTCATCTTAAATGGGTCCACTGTGGTTTAACCCCCAGATGCAGATGCCTCCCCCCCAGCGAGCAAAACTAGAAATGAACCCTGACAACTGGAATAGAGAAGGGATCACTAAGACAATTATGGTTGGAGGAATCGTTCATGATGGATGATGTGTGCTGAAAGTAGATAAAGGACCAAACATGATAACCTCCCAGTATCATATTGCAAACCGTAATGCCCAAAAGCAGAGAGAGTATGGGGGAAATTGTCTGCTATGGAGGCAGGGGAGGGTTGGAAAGGGATGGGGGAGGGGAATACTGGGGACATTGGTGGTAGAGAATGTGCACTGGTGGAGGAATGGATGTTTGATCACTGTATGTAAATGAAACTCAAACATGAAAGCTTTGTAACTGTATCTCACAGTGATTCAATTTAAAAAATTGAATTAAATTAAATTTAAAAAAAAGAAACAAACCCTAAGCACAGCTAGGAGTAGCCGTGTCACTCAACCCCAATGTGGAGGAAGAGGAGGAGGAAGAATAAGAGGAGGAAAAGGAGGAAGAAGAGGAGGAGGAATAATTTACTAAAGAATATTTTGTTCTGTATTTGATTTAAGATAATAGAAAATTATGTGTTTCTCTTGTTTTTTGGAACCATTTTATAGCATTTATGGAGGCATTGGTTTCTCTTTGATCAGCTTGACAAAAGAGAGATTGAACAGTGATTTTCCAGATAAGGGTGTCTCAAAGCTAATGTTCTTTCCTTAAAATATATCCACGATTATAAACTCAATATGTATCAGGAAGGAGTGGGTATTTCTGGCTCTGTGCTCAGGAGCGGCTCTGGGTATGCTTGGCATAGTGCCAGGGATAAAAACCATGGTTGGCTGCACGCAGGGCAAAGCACCTTACCCACTGTACTATCTCTCTGGCCCCTGAACATAAATTCTAAATAACATAAATATCAAAAGATAGAAGGTGCTGGAGCAATAGCACAGCGGGTAGGGTGTTTACCTTGTACACAGCCGACCCAGGTTCGATTCCCAGAATCCCATATGGTTCCCCAAGCACCTCCATGAGTAATTCCTGAGTTCAGAGCCAGGAGTAATTAACTTACCCCTGTGCATCGCCAGGTGTGACCCAAAAAGAAGAAAAAAAAGATAGAAAACGTGATGTCAAGGAAGTAGCTCAAATAGAAGAGCACATGTATTGCTTGTGCAAGATTCTGAGTTTCTTCTCTGGCACCGCGTGCCCTGTGCACCCAGCACTGTCCACACAAGCAGGTTGTGACACGTGTGGCCCATCTATTCAGTAAAAACCTAACAACTCATGAAAGCAAGCATGCTTAGAACATGCCACTGCTTGACTCCAAATCAGCCTGCGAAATTTCAGAACCTTTAACAGGATTGCTGAGACACAGACCTGAGTTGTTATTTATCCTTCTTTGCTTACCATAAAACAATTGAAACTTTGGAAGAATGACTACTTGATAACAGGAAGATATTTGTTTTTTATGGCAAATAAGGTTTGCAGGGAATTTTTATGTGTGTGTAAGCGATATCATTGAATATAAGGTGAGCGGGAAAGACGGAATGTGGATGGCATGAGAACACCATTCAAAATGGCTTTATAAAAGCTTCTTCCAAAACTTAATTTAGAACTCTTGCAGTCTGGATAAATCTCTGCTATTTTTGCAAGGACCTGACCAGAATCTTGATCTTATAGACATATGTTACTGTGCAGAAGAAATAGAAAAATGGTCTCTTCCTCCCTTATCTTTGTGTAACTAAACACTGTTTTCAGTAATCATTTTTAACTGTACTAGAGAATGTATCACTCAAAATATTTTTTAGTCTTGTCATGATATCTAATGAGTTTAGCTTAACTCTAGGTTGCAATTTTCTGTGCCAAGAATGTGTTCATTAATAATATCATTCGTGTCTCAAGAGAAATATTTTAAAATATATTTTACTGAGATTTTGTTGGCACTTGACAGCATTTTGGATTTAAAATAAAAAAATCTAAATCCTCAAAATTAACTGAGAAACCCCATGGACCGGTAGAACTGGGCTTAGAACTACACCAGGGTTAAAAAAAAAAAAAAAAAGGTTTTTTGAAAAATTAAAGGGAAAATTTCATTGATTTTCTGGGGGAAAAAATGTAATTCAGCATGAGAATTATAAATTAAATTCTCAGATTCTCAACATGGGGTTTTAATTTGCAATTTTCATTAAAACTGGATGTCAGAAAAGTTTTTCCTCTCAATTTTGAGAGCTCGTCTGTAGGGAATTTGCTAACTCTTGGCCCCCTAGGAATGAGCTCAAGTATTAAGTAGACAGTATTTGTACCTCTATAACCACTGATTCTGTACTAGTCACATCTTTTTTTATTAGGTTTGCATTCACAGGCGAACAAGTTGCATAGCCCATATAAAATGTATTTTATAAAAAACATTTTTTCTAGGTATCATATTATTGTACTCCACAGAAACAACTTTTGTGTCTCCAAGAAACACATTTAGGGATCCAGGCACTTGTTTGGCTGTAAGGGGTCAATCCTACAGGCTCAGGATAATGGAAACCAAAGTACTATCCTGGGAAGGAGAGATGGGATCTAGGCTGAGTTGCTCTGTGCTCAGGGATCACTCCTGGCAGTGCTTGGGGGATGATATAAGGTGCTGGGGATCAAACCCAGAGCCACAGCATGCAGCAGAGCAAGTGCCCAACCCACTGTACTATCTCTCCAGCCCCAGCTATCCAGGTACTTGTTGATGCTTAAAATCCAAAAAGATGGAGTCTTTTGATGGTCACTTGCCAGTTGATGGGAACTGTATTGCTTATCCCAGGGCTTTAACCTTCTCCAGTACTGCTTGTACCTGGAGAAAGATGCCCAGAGACAAGTTTGAAGAAGCTACATCCTGGCTCGATTCCCCTGATATCATAGGACATCATCTGCCGGCAGCCTGGCTTCTGAAATGCTGGGCCATGGCTGCTGCCAAAGCAAGCAAAACATTGTGCCTGAAAGCTTTTAGAGAGGGTGTTAATGTGAGAATCTCCATTTGTGCAGCAGTAGGCAGAGTGGATTACCTCATGCTGAAAGAGAATGCTTAACTATTCTTGGGCTAACTACTTCTTTGTCGCCATGTTAACTTCAAAAACTCTCGAATAATACACTGCCTAGAGATGAAACATTCCAGCTGGGCCTGAAAGGTAGTACATGCGGTATAGCACGTGCCTTGCGTGTGGCTGATCCTGGTTTGAATCCCTGGCACCACATATGACCGTCCCTTCTCCCACCCCGTCCTGGCACAATCAAGGGTCATTCCTGGACACAGGGTCAGGAGTAGACCCTGAGCCATGCTGGATATGGCCCCAAAGCACACACCCCCCCCCCCAAATTGAACTACAATAAATATTCCTTCTGTCTATCTGACTTTCAAGGTTTTTTCTGTGAACTATCCCTGTTTTTGAAAGGAAATTATAGTTTAAATGATTTATATGCATACATGTCACTTACGATGTTGATTGCCTTGTTCACCCACAGAACACTTGAAAGAGAAACTCGATGAGTATATTAAGCTGTGGAATGGCCTAGTGAAGGTATTTCGAAACGAAAGGAGAGAAGGTTTAATTCAAGCACGGAGTATCGGTGCCCACAAAGCTAAACTTGGACAGGTAGGAAACATTAGACCTCTACAATGTCTCCTTTGGGGATGGGTAACTAGAGGATCATAGACCTTTTCAAGTACCCTTCAGGAAAAAATAATTTTTTTAAATTGAAACAAAATGCTGGCTTGAACAGTTAACGTATATGTCAAAATTGACTGTGGAGCGCATGCGTATTAGCACCTGTGTAAGTGCGAATGGTGTGTGGTGTGTGATGTGCCATATGTGAGGAGTGTTCTTTCATCCTGCCTCTTTTCTTTAAGGTTTTGATATACCTTGATGCCCACTGTGAGGTGGCAGTTAACTGGTATGCACCACTTGTAGCTCCCATTTCTAAAGACAGGTAACATCGCCTTGCTTTTTTTTTTCTTTCCTGGTTAAAAAGTCAACCTCACCCTAGAAGGACTCCTGGTGTTCTCATTCTTCTGATGTCAGTGCCAGTTAGTGCCCCAAGCGTTGCGTTGGAAGCACTGTCATCCAGCTAGTGGTTGGCTGGGGTGGATGCTGTGATTCTCCTTAATCTCTGGGCTCATTTGGATGTAGGCAGTCAGGGCGCTTGGGAGAAGCCTAGGGCATCTCCCTGGAAAAAAACCCCGGTGGTTGGGTGGTGAAGAAACTTCTCAAATAATGAGGTCTCTCTCTCTCTCTCTCAGAGCAGTATTAATGAATGGCTACCCACTAAATTGTGGTCACAGCCCTAAAAGACTCAAAGGAGAGGGCTTTGAAATTATTTAATACCCTTTGGGATTTTTTTCATGCCCTTTTTAAATTAGTGCTTTACATAGTAAGGGCCAGCTGTTACTCCTGCCAATGCTGTAGGTTCCTATAGAAACATTCAAGTTCTCACACAGAAGCAATGGCTCATGAAAACGCAGTCGGCCTCGTTAGCTCCTCAGAAGTAGCTGAAACAATAGACAGTAGCAGCCGTCCTGTCCTCTGGCTCCGAAAGCTGTCTTGAGTTCTGACAGCTCTGAGGTCTAGCAAAAGCAGATGCCTCCCTGTGGAGGCTGGTAAGAGTCGGAAGGAGAACCTGGAGAAGGTCTCCGGTGCACACTCGCTGCAGACCCTCTGGCTTCATCCTCCTGGCAACCCTGACAGAGAGATGTTATTAGCTCACATACTAAGGGGACGCTGAGGCTTAACCTGACAGCTGATAAACCATCACACTGCCTGCTCTCCTGGACCTTTTTTGCACTGCACCATGTACTTTGAAATCAAGGAATTATGAAGGAAAAAGGGAGGATAAGGACAATTTCACCTCTCTGGGTGAAAAGGAGCCTCACACCAGAGCAGTGAAAAAGGAATTTTCTCCAAGAGTCCCCAGGATCCAAAACCTGAAGGGAACCAGCAGTGTCCCTTAAACCCTCTCTCCCCACACAGAACTTCCCATCCCCTGGGGTCCTCTTCCTCCTCCCTAATTGCTCAAAAACACCTTACCTGAGGAAGAAAAACTGCTCTCCCCGATTTTGGAAGGCGATTTAAGACCTTTTCTGATGAGACAAAGAGTGAAATAAGCAGGGTCACCAGTTCTCTGTCGTGCTGACTCTCGGCCACCCAGGATTTGCACTTTCATGAAAGTCAAATAAAAAGGATTTGTTTCCTCCGGGTTGTCATGCCATGCCATAAATTCTGCAGCAGCTATATTTTTCTTGTTATTTAAAAAAGCAGGACAACAATACTTTTTGTTTGTTTGTTTTTCAATAAAAGCTGGGTTGTTATTCTTGTTTGATAATACAAGCAGGAGAAAGATCAAATAAAGTACAGGAACAGATTTTCATAACTGACCCCAAAGCAATAGAAAGCTACACGTTGGGAGAGCTAAGATTCTACACACACACACACACACATACACTCCCACACACACACAATCTCTCTCTCTCTCTCTCTTTCTCTCTCTCTGTCTCTCTCTGCTAAGATTTTACACACACACATACACTCTCTCACACACAATGTCTCTCTCTCTGCTAAGATTCTACACACACATACACTCTCTCACACACAATCTCTCTCTCTGCTAAGATTCTACACACACACATACACTCTCTCACACACAATCTCTCTCTCTGCTAAGATTCCACACACACACACACACACACACACACACACACACACGGACATTTTTAATGGATTAGGAGAGAAAACAATAGAAAAATGCTGTGAATAATGTCAGGTTATCTAGAGAAAGTTGTAGGATGACAGTGAATATGAGAAAGCGTCCTTAATTTCCATGGCCAGACTCTTTGTCCTGATCGTTTATCTGTAAACTGGGGGTCAGGGACAGTCACCACACCCTGCTCTTGCCAGCATAGGCCCCTTGACTCTTCCCAAGGGTTCGTTTAGTTCTAGATTCTCAAGCTGCATAGTCAAGCTCTCTAGCGCCAAGCAAAGCAATCCACCCACAAAAAGAGAGCATCTAGCTAGGCATGCCAAACCAGTCAGTTTTGGGTTCTTAAATGCGTTTTCATTTTCTGTAAATGTTTCAGAACTACATGTACTGTGCCTCTAATAGATTACATAGATGGGAATGACTATTCCATTGAACCACAGCAAGGTGGGGATGAAGATGGCTTTGCCAGAGGGGCCTGGGACTGGAGTTTGCTATGGAAGCGTATTCCTCTAAGCTACAAGGAAAAGGCCAAAAGAAAACATAAAACTGAACCTTATCGGTAAAGATTATTACTTTATATTCTTATGTTGAATGTTTATCTAAGTCCTTTTTTTTTCCTTCCCCATGTGCTCATATAAATATGTGGGTCCCTACATACCATCCATTTCATCTTTGCTGCCATCCTCAACACAACACAGAACCATTTGCACTGTGCCGCTTATAGATGTCATAAATGGCAACACATATCAAATTGTACCCCAAGGGGGTGGTGACGAAGATGGGTATGCCCGAGGAGCATGGGATTGGAGTATGCTCTGGAAACGGGTGCCTCTGACCTCTCGCGAGAAGAAAATGAGAAAGACAAAAACTGAACCATATCGGTAATCACTAAATCACTTACATGTTTTTCTTTATATGCTGTTGCTGCTAACCTACTAACCTCTTGCCATGCTGAAAATGAACCTGTAGATTCTGTCTTCCAACTCCGAGTGGGTTTCTGTCCTTGCACTGAAGTCTCACGTAATTTTTGAGAAACACGTTGCTGGAGTGAGTGCCACCAATGATGACCTCACACCTCACTGGCTTCGCCCACCGCACAGCCAGACACCGTGGCAGAGACACAGTCTCATCCTTGAGAACTAGGCGCTGGGCTGTTTATCAGATGTAATGCACATCTGCTTCTTGGTCACTTCCCGACACGCAAGCACTCTTTGGGAAAGGGGAACATTAGAAAACATTTGTTCCAAATACAAGTGGAAAAAAGAAAATCTTGGCCACCCAGTCATAGTAGATGAGAGAAACACTGAATTTGATTCTTTGAGAGATGGTGTTGTTCTGTAAGTTTAGCATGTTTAAATCATTTTCAGTCCAAGTTTTCCTTCCACTTTAATGCCGTGGAGGTAGGTTAGAGGGTTTTGAGGTTTGGGGTTTTAGAGTTCTTTTTATATTTGGGGGGGTGTTTCCCTTAGTTTTGCAAACTCTTTTTTTTTTTTTCGCTCAGAAATTACTCCTGGCTCTGCACTCAGGAATTACTCCTGACTGTGCTTGGGGGACCATATGGGATGCTGGTGATCGAACCCGGGTGGCTGCGTGCAAGGCAAACACCGTAGCCACTGCACTATCACTCCGGCCCAGTTTTACAAACTCTTGAATACTAATTTTGTAGAGTTGTATATGCTGAATAAAAAATACACACCTTCAGAAAAATGTACCCTAGAATCTTTTAATATTTCACTAAAGAGTGCTTGATTTAAGGGAGGTTTTATTCCAAAAATTATCTTTGGTCCCTTCTTCCAGCTCTTCAGATGTAGCCAATCAATCTATTCAATTCTTTTGGTCTTTTGACTGGAGGGTGTTGCTGTCTTTTGAAAGAATGACCCCAAACAAAATGTTCACTCAAATGCTCCAAGAGGTTTCTCCGTGCAGTGTCATTGTGATCTTACAGAAAAGTGCAATTATTCTAATTTGACTTTCTGCTCCTACAGTTGGCTTTGGTTGAGTGCTTCCCGTTGCATGTTAATACCCTTAGCACTGTTTGGGGACCGGGTTTCCCTGCAGCTGGGATTTGAGTATTATCGAGATACTGAAATGGCAAACATGAGAAATTATAAAGCTTCAAGCTCTAGTTGATGTTTCCCTTGAAGTTCCTTTTTTCCTTTCTTTCTTTTTTTTTCTTTTCAAAGCAGCCCAAGAATCTGCTATTCATGGACATAACAAGTAATTCTAGAGAAAGTCATAGAGAAGATCGTGTTTATGTTTTTTGCTAATTCCACAGGATAGTAGAGAGTTTTATTTTTCTCTTAAAGAGGTAAGAAAAAATGTAAAGGAGGTTTCCCTTTAATTCACTGGCTATAGCACAGCCGTAGGGCGTTTGCCTTGCACGCAGCCAACATGGCCGACCTGAGTTCGATTCCTCCGCCCCTCTCGGAGAGCCCAGCAAGCTACTGAGAGTATTCGATATGCCAGACACAGTAACAACAAAGTCTCCAATGGAGACGTTACTGGGCCCGCTCTAGCAAATTGATGATCAACAGGAGGGCCTTTACTTTTACTTACTTTATGGAGCGATAGCACAGCGGTAGGGCGTTTGCCTTACAAGCGGCCAACATGGCCGACCCGAGTTTGATTCCTCCGCCCCTCTCGGAGAGCCCGGCAAGCTACCGAGAGTATTCGATATGCCAGACACAGTAACAACAAAGTCTCCAATGGAGACGTTACTGGGCCCGCTCGAGCAAATCAATGAACAATGGCAGGACCTTTAGCTTTTCATATTAATATGTATTTTTCAAGTATGTGCTGAAATAAGTAGAAATATATATTTTTTATATATTTTTTTAATTTTTTGCTTTTTGGATCACACCCAGTAATGCTCAGGGGTTACTCTTGACTCTGCACTCAGGAATTACTCTTGGCAGTGCTTGGGGGACCGTATGGTATACCAGGGATCAAGCCCAGGTTGGCCGTGTGCAAGGCAAATGCCCTACCTGCTGTGCTAACACTCTGCCCCCCCCTTTTTTTTCTTTTTGGGTAACACTTGATGATGCACAGGGGTCAATCTTGGCTCTGCACTCAGGAATCACTCCTGGCAGTGCTCTGGGGACCATGTGGGATGCTGGAAATTGAACCTGGCTTGACCTCATGCAAAGCAAACACCCTACCCACTGTGCTATTGCTCCAGCCCCAAGATAAGTAGAAATGTAGAAATATATATGTATGTATATATATATATATCACTTGATCACTTGACTTCATATATATATATATATATATATATATATATAATTGTCTTTTTTGGGTCACACCCGGCAATGCACAGGGGTTACTCATGGCTCATGCACTCAGTAATTACTCCTGATCCTGATGATGCTCAGGGGACCATATGGGATGCTAGGAATCAAACCCGGGTTGGCTGCGTGCAAGGCAAATGCCCTACCCGCTGTGCTATCGCTCTAGCCCCCTTGAAACATGCTTTAATTGTGGAAAACCAGGCCACTTTTTTGCTTTGTGGTATAGGAGACATATTTTAGGTAGAAAAGGAATAAGAGAATGAGTTTACCCAGATAATGATTTTCCTTTGATATTGCTATTAGTACCTGATTTATCATTTATCCACTCAACCAATATTTAATGAGTACTTACAATACTCCAGGCACTGTTTTCTGGCCATACATTTTTAGAAGTTGTGTTCCCTCATGGTGCTTAAAATAAAGTGGATCGGACAGATATTAAACAGATAACTCTGCTGATGATTCGGTAACAGCTGGGAGAAGCGGAATGAAGAAAAATCCCAAGGCACATTGGAGCTTACAGGAAGGAGAGCGTTTTTTGGATCATCGGTTCCTGCAACATGTCTCAGAGGTTAGGGACCAAAGGATGGATACACGAGAGCTCGTACACTGGCACCATGCAGGCTGGGCCTCTCTGCCTATCTGGGCAGGCAGAACCGAACAAAGGACCTACCAGCTGCGAGTTTAGGCAGAATTCTGAGCAATGGTGACAGTGAAGTGGAAGAGAAGTAGATAGATTCAATGGTTAAGGCACTCTCCTTGCATGTGTCCGACCAGGGTTTAACCCCTAGCATGACATGTGGTCCCCTGAGCACTGCAGAAGAGATGCCTGAGCACAGACTGGTGTGGCCCCCAAAACAAAATGAAACAAAAAGGAATTTGGGGGACCGGAGAGATAGTACAGGGGGTAGGGCACTTGCTTTGCATGCACCTGACATGGATTCAGTCCCCAGCATCACATATGATTCCCCCGAGCATCCCGAGAGTGATCCCTGAGCATAGACTGGGGCTGTAGAGCTAGTACAGTGGGTAAAGTGCTTGCCTTGCATGCAGATAACCAGGGTTCAATCCCCGACGTTACATATGGTCCCCTGAGCACCCCAGAAGTGATCCCTGATCCCCAAACCAAAGTCAGTAGGGAATTCAATATCATGGATGATGCTGGAGGTACTCTAATAGAGGAACTTTACTTAAGAATGGGTAGGGAGAGCAAGGAACAAGGAGAAAATGAACGCCCCCCCCCCCCCCCCGGCACTTCTTATGATGGGAGTGGCTTCTCCCTACAAAGCTACCAGATCTCTGCACACCCCACACCCCCCATCCTAGGTCGTGCCCAGTGCTAGACCCCATTCAAGAAGTCCCACAGCTTGTCTTCTTGTCTTCCCACTTCCCACCACAGTAAATAGCGATGTCAGATTCCTCCTGTGTCGTTCTATGCTACATTCGCAAACTCTGAATGAACTGTGCCTATTCTATAATGATTTACGCCCTTATTTGGCAAGGCCCCTGAGCTATAAAATTAAAAGCTGGCAGACTGCTTCCATGGTGCATGGTTTCACTCATCCCAGAATGACTCATAAATCATTCTAGGAGCAGTTAGCAGACCAAGACTGGGTGGCTCAGTATTTTTAGGAGCAAAGGAAAAAAGCCTTTTAACTAACCTGAGGCTTAATTTTTAAATCAACAGAGGTACCGGGGCGCCCTCTAATGGCCAAATGATGCAATGTTCTCATTTGTTAAAAGCTGTAATTGGATCTTAAAAATTCACTCAGGAATTAGGAACAGCCCGCTCGAGTTATGTAAAGGCTTTATAATTTCTTCATGTTTGATCATATTTATTTTTTTATTTTCTGTGCATTATTTCCAATAAGGCTTGTCTATTGATGAAGGCACATTGGGTAATTTTTCTTGGATATTTACTGCCTTCTTTCTCTCTCTTAGGTCCCCAGCCATGGCTGGTGGGTTATTTGCCATTGAACGAGATTTCTTCTTTGAACTTGGTCTCTACGACCCAGGCCTTCAGATTTGGGGTGGTGAAAACTTTGAGATCTCATACAAGGTAACCTCTTCTTCCCCCGACTCTTGTGACTTTCAGAGGAGGCTGGTGTCTTTGTGTAACGCTAGTGAGGGCCTAAGTTATGAGACATGACTGGAAAAAAACATGTGTGTCTCAGGGATATAGGTAAAACCTCCCAACTTACTCCATCCTCTGTGGTTCAGTAGCCAATTGGGCTGAACACAAACTTCTTTGTTCTTACAGGGGGTCCCTTTCTTTTTTATATATTTTTTTAATTTTTAATTGAATCATCACGTCACCGTGGGATACAGTTACAAAGCTTTCACGATTGAGTTTTAGCCATACAGTGTCCCAACACCCATCCCTCCACCAGTGCACATTTCCCACCACTAGTGTCCCCCATATCCCTCCTGCGACATCCACCATTTTGTTTGCCTTACACGCTGCCAACCGGGCCGACGTGGGTTCAATTCTTCCACCCCTCTCAGAGACTCTGGCAAGCTACCGAGTATCTCGCCCTCACAGCAAAGCCTGGCAAGCTCCCCGTGGTGTATTTGTTATGCCAAACACAGTAACAAGTATCACAATGGAGAGGTTACTGGGCCCGCTCGAGCAAATCGATGAACAACGGGAGGACAGTGCTGCAGTGCTATTTATTATTATTATTATTATTATTATTGAGTCGCTGTGAGGTACACAATTATAAAGCTTTTCATGATTGGATTTAGGTCATACAATGACCCAACACCCGTTGACCCTCCACCAGTGTCCATTTCCCACCCTCAGTGGCCCCCTCCCACTACCCCCACAGGGGGTCCCTTTGTTCGAGATGCTCTTCAGAGAGCATCAGTACGGGAGACACCTTTACCTGTCTGGCACGCGAGGCAGACCCGACAATCACTGACACAGACACTGACACATGCCTCCCTGCCTGCCCCCACCATGAAGGCAGCACCTGGGCTGCGTTGCCTCTCAAGAGTACCCCCTTCTCCTTGCACCTCCCCAAGGCCCAAAAGAAAGATCGAGAACCAGAGCAGAGTCTGAGTTCAGCAGATACTCAGATCTTCGGTGTTCACGCTTCGTACTTGGGGACACAGGGGAGAACCCAGTCCTTGCTCCTGAGGAATGAGTGATCAATGAGAATCGAGTGTGTGATCGTGTGATCCCAGGGTTAAGTGCAGCGACGTTCGGCTGGTCTGATTAAGCAGCAGCACCGGGCCAGGAGTAGGACTGTAGCCAGAGCTAGACAGATGGACACGGCGCTGCTGAGCTGGGGGCCAGGCAGGCGAGGAGAGAGGAACTTCTAGTCGATTGGCTGCAAGGGCGAATCATGTAGAACGTGTCGGGAAGCCAGCCTGGCAGAATCTGTCCATGTCGGAAAGAAACCCACGCAGAGAAAGCGGACGAGTACGTGAAGAATGTACTGAAGAGTCTGAAATGCTGAGCTCAGGGATTTTTTTTTCTTTCTTTTGCTTAATTTGATAAGCAGTGGGAAACCATCTGGGATATTAAGCAGGGGAATGATCTGACCCGAAGCTGCCTTTCAGCTAGAATACTGTCCTGCTATAAATAAAGAGAGCATGAGCGAGAAGCCAGAGGTGAAAAAGCCAGTTGGAAGGTTATTCTCATAATCACCGAGGTGGGAAGGGTATTAGCGATGGAAATGAAGAGTGTGTTAGGAATGAAGGCTCTGTGTGACTTTGTAAGGTGACCCTGGGAAAAAGTCGCTTGGAGTCAGGCACAAGAAGAGCCCCCAGCACTGTGTATTAGCACCCACCCCCTTCCACCAACACCCTTCCCACCACCAACCATGGTCCTCTTCGTTTTCTTATGAGCTCAGAAAAACAAATTATTTTTAGGATGTGTTTAGTTGAGAATCCCTGTGGACACTGTTTAATTTAGATTTTAGATTGACCTTGGGAAAACACATTTTCAACTCTAATTTATCTTGGCATTTGAAAAATGTTTCCACGTGTGTTTTGTTGTTGCTTTTTTCTTCCTCCTCCCCCCCACTAGATATGGCAATGCGGCGGCAAACTACTCTTTGTCCCTTGTTCCCGTGTCGGACACATCTATCGCCTTTCGGGCTGGCAAGGGAACCCTCCCCCCGTCTATGTTGGGTCCTCGCCAACGATAAAGGTGAGTTTGTCGCATTCATTTCAAAACTTTAGAATTTAGACAGGATTGGAATGGGACTGAAAAAAGCAGAATTACACAACTTTGCAAATGTTCATAAGTATGCTCATTCTGGGCATCTAATAATTGATTGCAATGTTTGTATTTTAGATTTAATGAATTCAGTGCTCAGAATTCCATGTGACACACAATTATATATTATTATTCCACATCAAATATTTCCGTTAAGCTGATGGTAATATTAAGTTGACTGTACTAACTTAGCTCTGACATGTCATAACTTGGGAGTTCAAGTGTGAATTGGGATTGTATTTCACCTTTTGGCTAGCTTTGCTAGCCAGCGAAGCCTGATTCTGCTGCCTGAATCAATCACACTGCTTCCTGCTCTTAACTTAGAATAGACTGGGTTTCATCTGAAGTGTCTTCCTACTTTGTGTTTGGTGAGTTGGTTTGATTCTTAGGTCATGTCCAGTGATGCTCAGAGGCTACTCCCAGCTCAGTGCTCAGGAGTCACTCTTCTATAGTGCTGGGGATCAAACCCAGAGGCCTCCCACCTGCCAAGCATGTGCTCCAGCCTTTTGTGCCAAATCCCAGGCCCTCAGAGGGGTTTAGTATCATATCCCATTCGAAGAACAATCCCTATATTTAATAGTCTTGAGTATATTGAATTTTTTTTCCTTTTTGGGTCATACCTATCGATGCACAGGGATTACTCCTGGCTCTGTACTCAGGAATTACCCATGGCGATGCTCAGGGGACCATATAGGATGCTGGGAATGAAGCCCAGGTTAGCCGCGTGCAAGGCAAATGCCCTACCCACTGTGCTATTGCTCCAGCCCCCTAGATTGAATATTTTTAAATAAATACTTGTTTTAATTGCTTATACTCGGTAGGGAAATAAATGTCCTACAACCTGGAGAAAAGGGTTGAGAGGAAAAACACCTTCCATGAGTCACACGTGAGTGAAATAATGGTTTGTGTTTTAGCTTTTAAAAATTAGAAGAATTGGGGCTGGAGTTATAGTACAGCGGGTAGGGCATTTGCCTTGCACACGGCCAACCCGGGTTCAATTCCCAGCATCCCATATGGTCCCCTGAGCACCAACAGGAGTAATTCCTGAGTACAGATGCACCCCCGTGCATCGTCAGGTGTGACCCAGAAAGCAAAAAAAAAAAAATTAGAAGGATCATGGGCCAGAAAGTTGGTCCAGGGGTAAGGTGTTTGTCTTGTACACACTGAGCCTGGTTCCATCCCTGGAACCTCTTAGGATTCCCTGAGCACTGCCAGGTATGGCCCTAATGTACACACCCTTCCCCCTGACCCAAATTATTTGGAGTTTGTGTGCTAAGCAACATCCCATTTTTGAATGCTAAGATCTCTGGTTGCCCCAAATGGGGAAGCATCACACAGAGTCTTGTGTCCTTGAGAGTCACTTGCTTGTTTCTCTGGTGAGGCTATTTTTAGAAACCCCGTTCAGAGCAAAGGCCACTGTGGGCCAGAGCCCAGTCAAAGGCCCAACGAAGTCTTGGGACAGCTCCTAAAAAGAGACGAGACACAGAGGCAGGGACAGGGAGGCTAGAAGGACCCACACAGCTGGGCAGCCAGCCAAAGTTGCTGAGAAACGGCCTGGCTCCACGGCCACCACAGATGCTATGCAGTAGAGTATGTCCAGTGAGCAAAACGGAATCAGAGGAGCCCGGGGCCCAAGGAGCACCGCACAGCCCTGACTCAAGGGTTGAATGCCAGGGCAGCTTAACTCCCAGAGGGTAGGCTGGTGGCAAACAAAAGAGATAGGGAAGTCCTCACTCCGTCTCAGAACTGACTGTAAATCTCATCACTGCTGCCTAGAAGGGAAGGAATTTCTGGAACGTTCCCGTCTCTTCTTCTTCAGCACCGTCTGCTTCTCCCCGGTGCTTCCCCTGTGTATCCTACTTGTCTGCCCAGAGCTTCTAACCTTCACGGGGACTTGTCTCGTACACTTACTCTCTGTGGTGTCCCTCCAGGCTCTCAAACTGAACTCGGCAACTTCTCCTCCAAAGGGACTCCTTGTCCCATGTTCCGTTTGCCCATGAGTAAAACTTGATGATGCTTATCTGAGGATTGGCCTGCTCCTTCCCTTCCCACTTTGCTAAGCCCAGGTGATCCTGCACCCCCCCCCCACACACACATACATACACACACACACACACACACACCTCTCACCCACCACTTTCCGTGTTGAGTAAGCCCCCAGATCTCCTCCACGGATTTTCAGGGGTCCCCCTGCTTCCTGCCCACAGGTTTAAGCTCAATCCACCCAGCCCTACCACTGCCATGCTTGTTTGTTTTCTGTGATGACTCTGTTATCTCTTTCCTACTCAATGCCTTTTGATGACTCTGTTGTAAAAAGTTTAAATTTTCAAATTTTTTGAAAAGAGTAAGAAGGAGCCAGGGAGATGACTCAAAGGGCGCACTCAGGAGCCTGGTCCTGGCACCACATGGTCCCCAGAGCACCGCAGGATCAACCCCTACCCTAAATCCCAAGTTTGGGGAATAGATACTCCCCTCTCAAAAAAAAAAAAAACCTTCCAGGTCTGTGGCCCACAAACAAACAAACAAACAAAATTATGATAATAATAACACATTTTGAGTGCTTTCATGTGTACCAGACCCAAATCAAAATGCTTAACATAGATGAATATCTTCATTTTCACAGCACAGAATAAGGTAAGAACCAGAAGGAGTTTTCCTCTCTGTGATGCCAGCATTGCAGTTACACTATACTGCATACAGGAATCCAAGTGGCTCACCCTTATTCGGTGCTTCTTTTACCCCATTTGCCGACCCACTTAATGAACAACTCCTTCACCACTGAGCAGCCCAGCACCCCATCCACACACCAAACCATTAAAATCTCGTCCTAGTTGCTTTAACCCTAATGAGCGAACACGTACTTCTTTGACTGTTAGCTTCCAGAAGATATGGACTGGGTTAATCTGGGATAGATTTGCAAATATTCCAAATAGATCGTAGGAGAGATATTGCAAATGCTTATTCATCTGTGCTCTTTTAGCATCCTGCTCCTTAAAACTCCTTGAGCCTGTGGACTTGCACCACAGCATGTCTAGGGGACTGCTCATCCTTAGCTAGGTTCCCTGCAGCTTAGACAAAACGTGAAATTGTCAAAAACAAGTCAGTGAGTCAGGCTCCGTGTCTGTTTGGGTTAAGTCAAGCTTCCTGGGAACCCAGCCCTACCCATTTGCTTGCACACTGTCTGCGAGTGTTTTCCCACCATGGTCATGTTGAGGAGTTGCCACAGAAACAGAGAGCCAGACATGCTCTCAGCCTTTTCTACAGGAGGTTCGCTAATGACCCATGATGGGAAGGACCCAGGAGCTGGGCTGAGCCAGCATGAATGTCGTCACATGCGTTCGTGCCTGCATACCCACCCTCATTCAGTGAAACCCTTGAGCTTAGATCTTGCTCGGTTCATCCAATACCCGCTTCTCCTTCTGCTCTTTCGTTGCTCTTTCTGAAAATGCATCCGTTGAAGAAAAGAGAAGGTTACTTCTGGGTCATGACAAAACACTAGTTTTTGCCATGGCAAAACAGCTCTATTGAAACAGTCGTAATGACTCCAGCAAAGGCACCGGCAATAAAAATGCAGTTTATTCAATGTGGCTATTGCTTTTCGTAATGGTTTCTGAAATGAAAAATGTGGTGCTTATAGTGGACAGAGATTGTGCTTGGAGGAGGCCCAAGGCCCAGCCAGCACCACAACTCAAGGCTTCCATTTCTGCCTCTTGAGGGAGAATAAAGGGTATCTTACAATATATGATTTTACGGCTCTGTGTTATCAAGTTCTGTCCATCATTTTTTCATTAAACATCAATTTCTGTACATGACACCTTTCTCCTGGCACTCAGGGTCTTAGAGTGATCAGCTCACTTCCATTTGTTGAGTTAAATATCGGATCCTCTGATATAAATGTGCAAAGTATCTCCAGTAAGCTTTTTATGACTTCCCCGATATTTCTGTTTTCTATAACGGTTTCTTTTTTTTTATTGTTTCCAGAATTATGTTAGAGTGGTGGAGGTGTGGTGGGATGAATACAAAGATTACTTCTACGCAAGCCGTCCCGAGTCAAAGGCATTAGCCTATGGGGATATCTCGGAGCTGAAAAAATTTAGGGAAGATCACAACTGCAAAAGCTTCAAATGGTTCATGGAAGAAATAGCTTATGATATCACCTCCCACTACCCTTTGCCCCCCAAAAATGTTGACTGGGGAGAAGTAAGTATCCGATGAGACTCAGATTGCAACCTGTGTGTGTGGAGAGACTGAGTCGGGAAGAATGTAAAGAGGAATAAGTGTGGGTAGAAGGGAACCATTCTTGGGGGGAAATCCAGGTAAAAACTATCCAGGGGGGCTGGAGTGATGGTACAGCAGATCGAGCGCCCGCCTTCTTCTTTCCCTCTTTCTTTCCTTCCTTCCCTCTCTTTCCTTCCTTTTTTCCCTCCCTCCTTCCTTCTCTCCCTCCCTCCTTCCTTCCTTCTCTCCCTCCCTCCTTCCTTCCTTCTCTCCCTCCCTCCTTCCTTCTTTCTCTCCCTCCCTCCTTCCTTCTTTCTCTCTCTCCCTCCTTCCTTCCTTCTCTCCCTCCCCCTTCCTTCTTTCCATTATTCTTTCCTTCCTTCCCTCTCTGTCCTCCCTTCCCTCCCTCCCTCCTACTTCTTTCCTTCCTTTCATTTCCTTCCATCCCTCCTTCCTTCCCTCCCTTTATTCTTTACTCCTCTTTCCTCCTTTCTTTTTTTCTCCTTTATTTTTTTCCTTCTCTCCTTTATTTCTTTGTTTATTCTGTGCCTGGGGTCTCATGCATGCAAAGCAGCCTTTGTTTTATGTCTCCAACCCTATATCTTCTGAAGCACTTATCACAGATGATGCCCAGCCAGTATTTGCTGAATGAAAAGATAAAGCCTTTTTATCCCAATACTAGCCAGATTATAGTTATGATTGAGATGTAGCACTGTAGCACTGTCCTCCATTGTTCATCAATTTGCTCGAGCGGGCCCAGTAACGTCTCCGTCGTGAGACTTCTTGTTACTGTGTTTGGCATATTGTATACATCACGGGTAGCTTGCCAGGCTTTGCTGTGCGGGCAACATACTCTCAGTAGCTTGCCGGGCTCTCTGAGAGGGGTGGAGGAATTGAACCCGGCTTGCCTGGGCCGGCTGCGCGCAAGGCAAATGCCCTACCGCTATGCTATATATAATATTTCCCCAAAGGAAAGAGGCATGACTTTTAGACAAAATGTGCATTCCAAAGATAAAAACTTGATTTTGCTTCTCACCTACCTTATCCATAATCAGAGAAATGTCTCACTGGCACCTTTGGCCTACCTTTCAGTCCCCTGGACTCCCCAATATAGCTCCCCAAATCTCTGTAGAGCCAGTTGGGAGAGATTCTTTCCAAGTTCCCTCCGGTCTACACATCTGTGGCCAGTGTTTCTGACCACTATGGTTGAGGTCGCTTTATTTGGATGGCGTCTCATTCCCAAGAATAATCATGCAGCTGAAAATCGTACTTAACTGATACTGTCCATTTCATTGTATTTCTTCTCTGTATAACATCTGTGGGCCAAAACCCTTTTAGTGGGAATGAGGCCTTGCTGGTGTTCATGTCAAGTTCCTGAATTACTTCAGGGATGACAGATATGCTCTAAACTCCCATAAGACTCACAGTGCGGCTAAGACCGGATGTTACCCAGGCTGAGCCATCCCCTGGGATCTTCGGCTGTGAACAGCTTTATCCTTGATGTTCAAGCTTACCAAAGACTAAAGAGTTGTGTCTTTCTTGGTTCTTTTCTCACGTGTCTAGATCAGAGGCTTTGAAACCGCTTACTGCATTGATAGTATGGGGAAAACTAATGGAGGCTTCGTGGAACTCGGACCCTGCCATCGGATGGGAGGAAATCAGGTACATGATCGGACCCTCGGATGCCTCTGGGTTCGGCTGGGAGATGGGCAGGGATCCCTGGAACATTCTCCTTCAGTCTTCAGGATTTTCAGTGGTTCGTTTTGTTTGAGTAGAGTTAAACATTCTGTAAATAAAAATTGGCATTGCCCAATCATTTGCTGAAGTGAGGGAGTTAAGACTTGACATATTTAGAAGCTAGAATTGAGTTCCAATAAATATCAAAGATGAGAAGATGTTTTTCTGGGAGTAGACAACCTATTTTTATTGATTTTCCTAACCAGCATTCTCCAATAGTCCATAGATGCTCCAATAAATTATTATTGCTACTGTGTTTTCTTCCTTCCTCATATTTTCTTGTCTTTAATTCAGATTGGGAAGCATTCTAAGGACTGTTTCCTCTTTTTCACATCCTCACCTTGTCTATACATTATAAATGTGTATGATATGTCTTAGTGGCCCACCCCATAACTATGAAACTGTAGCACTGTAGCACTGTCCTCCCGCTGTTCATCAATTTGCTCAAGCGGGTACCAGTCATGTCTCCATTGTGCGACTTGTTACTGTTTTTGGTAATTAAGGATTCTTCAACAACATTCAAGTACATAAGGATTTCTGTCTTGGAATGTATAGTTCTGCGTGACAGAAAAATATGTCACTGAGCTTAATTATAGATTTTGTTATATGTATATCTGCAGAGAAAGTACTGTGTTTTTATGGTTTTTGTCTGTTTGCTTGTTTTTATAGCTTTTCCGAATCAATGAAGCTAATCAACTCATGCAGTATGACCAGTGTTTGACCATTGGGCCTGATGGGTCAAAAATTATGATTACACACTGTAATCTAAATGAATTCAAGGAATGGCAGTATTTCAAGGTACTCTACATTTCAACACATGAAATATTATTCTATACTATTTTATGTGCATATGCTGCCCAGGCCCATGTGCTGCTTGTGCCCACGTGGCCGAGCACATGTGGCCAAGCACATGTGTTGCCCGAATCTTCTCTCTTGAGATGTGTACTTTCATGCTTTCATGTTTAGCTGATAAGATGCTTTCTAGATGTATGGGAACTGGGAATGTCTTCTTAATTGGGAATGCTTGTTTTCTTGATGGGTTGGAGCGATAGCACAGAGGGTAGGGCGTTTGCCTTGCATGAGGCCAACCCGGTCGACCCAGGTTTGATTCCTCTGCCCCTCTTGGAGAGCCCGACAAGCTACCAAGAGTATCTTGCCCGCACGGCAAAACCTGGCAAGCTACCCGTGACATATTTGATATGCCAAACACAGTAACAAGTGTCACAATGGAGACATTACTGGGCCCACTCGAGCAAATTGTTGAACAACGGGGGGACAGTGACAATGACTATTTTATGCATAGCACCTCCCATGTGGAATTTAGACATATAACTCTTAAAGCATGCATTCAAATGGCCTTGCATTTCCTTCTCATTTTCTGAACACAGAAACTCTCATTTAAAGAGGTACCTCTTACTCAGTGGGTCAATATTATCATGAATGAGTTCCTAAACTGACGATGAAGGGTCACTGTAACATGCACTGTGGAGTGGTCAACATCTTTGTTACCGTATCATATCTAATTTTTTTTAAATCTCAAGGAATCATTCATTAAATAAAATAGATATATTTACTTATAATCATGAAATCATTCATTAAAATAAATCCACGTATTTACCTATATACTTTTAAAATACTGCTTTTATATTTCATCTTGTCCAGCAGGTGGAGATAGAGACAAACATATCACACAGTTGACACTCAGGTCTTCCCAGGGCCTAAGTGTTTAGGACTTCCAAAGGGGTTAGGTGTGGCCTGTTGCTTGATTTCAAGGCATTGTAGTCGATTTCACCCTTGACACTGCAAAGAAATGAGGAGCGTTTTAGCTTCAGCCATAAGCAAAGTACCATGCTATGCTGGGGATTCTGACATCATAATAGATTTATGTCTGGCTTTCGAAGTCCTCACCTGGCAAAAAAATAAATCTATTATGAAACCAGAAGGCAGGGAAGCTGCCCCAAACAGAAAGACCCTCCTCAACTAGATCTGCGCATTTAGTCTCATTATCATGCCCCGTGCACCTTGCAAACACTTGTCTGCTGCGAGCACTGATAGTGTGACTGTTGCTTAGCCCCAGCTGTCACTCAGGCCTCATTGAGAGGCATGTGGCAGTTGCTGATTTTTTTCTTATTTTCAAATTCCCAGAGGCAGATATTGACAGAAAAAACTTACTCTGTTACAGAGGGTTGTGTTTTTTTGTTTGTTTGTTTGGTTGGTTTTTGTTTGTTTTTTTGAGGTGAATGGCTTGCGGGGGGGGGGGGGGGGGCGTTGGGAACACACCTGGGTGGGAGACCCTTGTTCCATCCTGGCATGTCATGGACCCCTGAGCACAGAGCTGGGTAGAGCCTTTGTGCTCCAGTGATGGAAATCATACAAACCAAAGTATCATTATGACTCCTCTGGACAGATTTTGCTGTGCAGGTTATACAAATTAGATATTAAATCTGAGAAAGCTTGTAGGCACTCGAGCATTAATTTGTGTGAATAGAATGATAATCTAGCTACATGTGACTATAAATATTTTAATGAAAAACATCAACTTTTCTCAAAAAATGGTGAGAAGAATAGCATCATTTTATAGTTTCTCAAATTGCCAGAAGGCCTGGTTTAACTGAAAACAATTCTGGATTCTTATATTTCTCTGCATTCAATTTGATGTGATATGCTTTTTCAATGGAAACATATGATTAGACTCAGTGGCTACCAAAATATGAATGAACAGAGGAAAACCTAGCATAAAATGCCTCTGTTTTCAGGAGAGATAACTGATTCTATCCAGGATGGAAATAGAGAAGTAAGTTCAGAGGGGAAGGCAATCATTTTTGTTTGTACACATTGAATTTGAGGTACCAAGTAATAAATCAAGCCACCAAACAGTGTGTTTTACTGAACAATAAAAGAACTTAGAACTGACCATCAGTGCCGGAGAGATAGTACAGTACGTAGGGCATGTTCCTTGCTACAGCCAACCTGGGTTCTACCTCTAGCATCCCATATGGTCCCCCCAAGCACTGCCAGGAGTGACCCCTGAGCATTGCTGAGTGTGGCCAAAAACCAAAAAGAAAAGAAATAAAGAACTGACAATGAAGAAAAACCCAAAGGCCTAGAGATATAGTATAGTGGGTAGGCCACCTGTCTTGCATATCTCCGACCTGGGTTCAATTCCCAGCATCCCATATGAGCCCACTGGAGTGATTCTTGAGTGCAGAGCCAGGAGTTAGCCCTGAGAGCCATGTGCCCCCACCCCGAGACAGAGAGACACAGAGAGAGACAGAGACATTCACACACACACACACACACACACACACACACACACACACACACACACACAGAGAGAGAGAAATTCACAAATTCACAGTAGCTTATGGTGGGGATAAGCTATCCAGTTTGCTCGAGTTCTTATGAAAAAAGAAAGTGGTCTAATGACTTCTTGCGTTCGTGATACGAGCAGAATCCAAATGTTCTCTTTTGTCTGGTTTCCAGAGCCTGTTCAGATTCACCCACATCCCTACTGGAAGGTGCCTAGATCGCTCCGATGTCCTCCATCAAGTTTTCATCTCTACTTGCGATGACAGTAAAACGAGTCAGAAGTGGGAAATGAATAACATCCACGGCATTTAGGAAGAACGGAAGAGAGCAGCACCTACCTGCTGACCCACACAGGACTGACCCCCGCCTGAAACCTGCTGCAATCCTCACTGACTCTGTACAGTTCGGCACCCACAACCTCCCGATCGGTCTGAAGGACATTGATAAACTGTGATGTTACAATAATAATGTTATCATCTGCAGTTACTGTTTACAAAACTGCTTTTTACCTTAAACTTTGTAGATGTTTACATCCTTTCATGTTTTGTTTTAAGATGCTGTTGGTAATTTGTGCATTTGGCTCTGTTTTATTAGGAACGGGGTTAAAGGCATCGTTGTCTTCTTTGGGATTACACTCAGGGGTCTGAAAGGCAGTTTGATTTTTTTTTTAAACACACTTGAAAAAAAAAAAAGGTTGGATGAACCAGATGTCATGTATCACTTGGTGATTGTCAACCTGTTGTGTTTCTTATTTAATTTGACATCAGTTCAGAGCACTGCCCCAGGTTTTCAGCCGTGGTGGCCTTTCTTCACAGTCATGCTGCTTTTTTGAAAGGTGAATTTCAACACATTTAGTGCCTCTTTCATTTCTCAGTATAGATTTCAAGAGCTTTTGATGCAATTTCTAGGTGGTTTTAATGGAGTCGTCACCTGTATGAAAGATACTTTGATTTATTCAGACATGAATACTTATATGCTACCATTTGTTCTGACATTGAATGTTGTATGGGTTGAAAAAAATAGGACAACGAAGACCATCTGAAGGCTTATTCTGGAGGGCTTGAAGATAATGTGACATTAATGTGACATCTTACTTGCTGGCATTCCCAATCCCCTCAGCTGATACCAGTCTCTAAGATAGCAAAGTAATGCATCACCTAGGGAAAAATTGTCCACTCTACTTGGAGTCTATTTTTCCTCCATATCTATCAAAGTGGGTTAACAGAAACAATAAAACACCACATCAAAGATACCTTCTGGCAATTAAAAAAAATTTTTTTTTAATTTTTACCTCGGGGCTGGAGTCATTGTACATGAGTAGCACTTGTCTTGTACACAAGTCACCAGTGTTCAGTACCCGGCACCACATAAGATCCCTAGAGCCCGCCAGGAGTAAACTCAGGAGTAAGCCCTGAGCACTGCCAGGTATGAACCATTAAACAAAGGAGCAAGGTGGAGTGTGAAAATACCTTCTTCTGACTGAGCTCAGAATTTCCAAGCCCTTGTTAAACTAAGCTTTACAAAACTCCTGCGCATTATAACCTAAGCTGCGCCACTTGTGAAGACTGGATGTTTTATTTCAACCTTCACACAAATGAAATCCCCTGCGCATTTAAAATATTTCTAAGCGTTATTTTAAAATTGTTAATAAAAACTGTTGATTAGCAAATCAGAATTACTTTGTTAGAGTGGATAGTATTCTCTATTTCTTTTTGTAAGGAACCATATTTGTTAGTATTTTTTTTTAGTGAAAAGATGACTTAACCTATATTTAAACATTCATTAAGAGACTATCTTTTATACAAAAAGCAAATATTACACAAATGGTCAGAGAAGATCTGAATTTCTAAATAATGCTTTATTTCTCTCAAATATTCAAATACAACATTGAGTACAAAAAAAGAAAGTGATAAGGTGGGGAATAGCAAGTAATTAGACTTTTTTTTAAATCTTGAATCATGATATCATTATAATAAAAGGAATTCACAGACAACTACCAGAGGGAAATATTTTTAATTAAAGCTTTAAAAGTAAAATAAAACCCACATTTCTTTAAAAGAAAAACATACAAGCTTGTCTATCTCATGCTTAGCTCTTAAAGTTGGGAAGTTAATCCTAAATTCTTTTCTTGATAATTCTGATTTTTCAGTTTGTATTTTGCTATTGATCTGTGATCAACCATTTTAACTTAAATTCATCAATAGGGGTGTTTAAAAAGGAATTCATTTATATGCTTCTATAATTGCAAAATAAATTAACTGAAAAAAGAAACAAAATACTGGTACTTTGGTTACTTGTTTTTGCAAATAGGCTCCATTTTCCTTGAATACACAATAACCTTGTTAACTATGCATAGTCGTAAGAAAGGTGGCATCAAACTGTGCATGTAAATTTTAAATGGGTATTTTGTGCAATTCATTAACGTAATCTATGACAATGATTCTCTATATTGAAATTAGAAACTTTACCAAACACAAAATACATCAGAAGCTGCTGCCATAATGACTATTTTCTACTGTAGGCTGCTTTGGAAATAATTCCCATATTCTTGCTTTGTAAATTGATACTATCACTATGCATTTCTACACATTTTATAAATTTGATTTATGCAGATTTTGATACACTGTATGTTTCTGTAGAAATTGTATAAATCTTCAAAATTTTATTAGGGATCAATTTGAGAAGTTTATGTATATCTTAATTCTGGGTTGCTTGTTTTTTAGGTGAAAAAAAATAAAATACTGTATTTTAATCCATGACTTTTTTTTTTAGTACTTGTAATCATTTCTAAGTCTCTTGATGTATGCTGCATGTTTGAAGTAATTACTTGATTTTGTTATTTACAAGGCAGAATAGCTAGATTGTCATAAACCAGTTATAAGTTGAATACATACTTGTGTTCTTAAAATGTGTTTGTTTAGACTATTTCAAATTTACCTGTCTGTAGACAGGAAACATAAACATTTCTTTAGGCCTGGAAGATAGCTCAGTAGGCTAGAGCACATGCTTTGCACGCAGATCTGGGCAATATTCCTGGCACGGCATAGCCATGAGGAATTCCTGAGCATCGCCAAATGTGGTTAAAACAAAAACAAAATATGGTATTCCCCCAAACACCACTAGGTTCTACCTCGAGCTCCATATATGGTCCCTGAGGCACTTAGGTACTAAGTCAGGAGTAGACCCCGAGCACCACAGGCTGTACCCCAAAATTAAATGTTTATAGGCCTGGGAGGATTTTTCCAACTGGGGTACAGAAAAGCAGTCCTAAACAGTGATGTCATCACTGAGCTGAGGAGACGAGTCATTGGAAGCTGCTTTAAAAAGCTGGAATGTACAGGTCAGATCATTAAAGGGGGGTGGTGAGGGTGGGAGGGTGTGAACTTGACTAAGATGCACACAGGGATTTATGGCATTGCCACTTAGAATAGCTACACTCCTGGGACAACCTAAATACACATACAGAATGGCTAAACAGGTATAATCACACCATGAAATGTTACATGGCAACGAACATGAGTGAACACTTAATAAACAAGTGTCCACAATATTACAAGGAATGAAAAAGGCATTTCCCAAAAACAAAAAATGAGCCATAAGTTACACGTTTGTCGGTAGTCACTTACGTGATTAATCCAAAATTCACAAATTATTAGTTTTGGGAGTCAAAGAAATAAATAGCTTCAGTATTCAGATTCCACACAACTGCATGGGAGGAATTCTATTTGATGCTAGGAAAATTCTCTGAAGGAATATGTTTGCCACCAAACTTTTGTTTTCTCTACCATTGTTGACTGTCAAGAATCTCAGAGGAATCCAGAGATGGTATTGAGGTTAGGGTACATGCCCTGCATGCACATGACTTGGATCGAACCCAATACAACATGGTCTCCAGAGCATAGCTGAGAATAGCCCTGGCGTACCCTGATCATTGCCCACAGAGCCAGGTAATCCCCACAGGGCCTGAGCAGCTCCACATCTTGGGGTCCTAGCACTGAACTGCTGGCCTTATTGGTCAGGTACCGCTGGGAGTGGTCCCCAGTCATTCTGAGCACCCCTTAGGGAGCCCCCTAATCTTTTAGGATCTATAATTTTAGCTATATATTGAGAACATACTACTTGTCAAGCTGTCTTACGTGTTAATTCCTTTACTCTTCAAAAAAATTCTGAGTTTATAGATAAAGTAACTAGAAGTTCACATGATTTATGTTACCAAACCAATAAGAAACTATTTGCTGGGGCTGGAGCGACAGCACAGCGGGTAGGGCCTTTGCCTTGCACACAGCCAACCTGGTTCAATTCCCAGCATCCCATATCGTCCCCCAAGCACCACCAGGAGTAACCCCTGTGCATCACTGAGTGTGACCCAAAAAGAAAAAAAATAAACTATTTGCTATCCTAATCTGATTCCCAAGTCTAGGCACCTCCCCTCACTTTCTTTTGTAACCTTATTTTTCTTTGTAATATCTGCAGTTTTTAGATATAAACCAGTATTGTTGGAAACATGTGAAGAACTGAGTAACATAGTAATGTGAATCAATTAGAACCAGTTAGTTTCTTGCTTTCTCTTACCTACCCTAGGATATTACAAAAAGATTGGCTTAATATAGTTAATGAAGTGAATATAAAATATTTACAGTTCTGAAATACGATACAACATCCTTACATGTTATTTTTTCTTCCTTCTAATGTGAACATTTAAAACATGTTTCTGAGTCACTATGTTAAAAATATGTTAACTTCTAAGATAGGGTTCACTGAGAAAAACCTGTTAGTTCTGAATAAAGGCCCAGGCACACAATGAAATTCCATTAAAAACCTCATAAACACTGTATTTACCTTTACTGCAGATGATCAATTAATGCACAAAAGATTTCTTAAACAATTTTTAAAACAATGATCTGGAAAGTACACATAAACCTTCATGTGTAGTCCAAATTAAAATCAACATTACAAACTTAAATTTACATATACATTTATTTGTTTATTTTTGGAAGTAAGTTTATTTAGGAAATGAAGAAAGGGAAGGAGAGAGATACCTGCTCAAGAGAAAACACAGAAGTGGCAAACTAGACTTCTAGGGCAGAATCTAACCTGGAGATGTTTTGACTCCCAAATTTGAATTTATTGCCAATATTTACAACTCAAGATTTCACATTTTGCAAATAATCTAGAGGCCAGATAGCACAGAGGGTAAGGTGCTGCATTGCACAGGGCTTAGCCGGGTACAATTCCCAACACCAAGCAGCAATGCCAGGAGTGAGCCATGAGCACTGCCAGAACAGGCCCAAAATAAAAATCAAACCCAAACAACAAATTAATCTCATTTTGGTTCCAGTGGATCAACTGAGACAAGCATGCTAGACCCATATTTCCATCTAGGGCTAAGCTAATTAGTGCTGGACTCCTTTTTTTTAAATTTTTATTAGTGAGACACCATGAGGTACAGTTGTAGACTTACAAATTTTTGTGCTTGGGTTTCAATTATACAATGATCAAATACCCATCCCTCCACTAGTGCCCATTTCCCACCACCACGGATCCCAGTATCCCTCCCACCCCCCATCCCCCCATCCCCCCCTGCCTCTGTGGCAGGGCATTCCCTTTCGTTCTCTCTCTCCTATTGAGTGTTGTGGTTTGCAAAAGAGGCAATGGGTGGCAATCATGTTTGGTCTATAGTCTACTTTCAGTGCTGAATTCCTTTATACTGAGCATTTATGTTAGGTATTTATGGGATACTTACTAGGTTTCTTATATTACATATAGAGCAGTATTCAAAAATAAAATATTCACTTAACTTAGGTATCTTTACTTCGGTCTCTAAAGTACTTTACATATCATGTCAACATCACTACTCTAAAAATAATATATCTACAGGGGAATCTTTTAAGAGAACTAGTCCAGAATAGCATGGATTTGTTTGTCTCCTGGCATTACAGTCTCTGCAAGCTCTGCTGGGAAAAACCACTGAGCACTATGCACACCCCTGGTCCCAGCAGGAATAGAAATACCTATACCTGTTCCCCTAGGGTATAGTTCTGGTGGGCCATGGCTTAGCATACTACCAGCCAAGTATCACTGGGAGTGGTCCTACAAAAATTTTAAGGTCAGCAAGACTACAAGAGACACAAATGGCTCAAGAAATACCCCAATGATAGAACTCATTTTTATTATGCCAAAATAAGGTCAGATAATTATATTGGTTAAAAATAGGCACTAAACACAACTGTGAAGTGTATTTTGGCAACTTTCATTAACGTACAGCATGAGTGCAGTTGCTAGCACACACTAAATACAGGTTTTAGGTGTTTAGCTTATTTTAAAATGTACAAACTTCTCTGAAATCACATACAAGTATATTCACAGTGACATTATTTTTAAAATTAAAAAGTATGTTAAATCCCTGCAGATACCTTGTGGGATACTAAACTGATAGCTATTAATAAAAGTCACAAAATGAGGCAGCTTTCAGGTATACTGAAGACAATCTCTAAAACTAGCAGGGGAAGACCAAGAGTCAGCTTCCACTTAAAATTTGTCAAAAAGTTTCAAATTTCCTTTGAAGGATAAGTTACTGGGATTCCTTCCTGAGAACTGGATAGATGGGACTCAAGGAAAGATAAAACTCCACTATGGAAACCAAAAGCATTTGCACAAGGTGTTTTTTTCCTGGAGAGTTGGGGTAACACCCAGTAATACACAAGACTGTACTTGTTATGTATAGCCAAGGATCAATCCAAGGTCCCCTGTGCAAAACATGCATATCAGCCCTTTGATTCATCTCCAAGAACATTGATTAATTGAAAAGTTTTCATAAACTACGTAGTACTGGCTGGTCTAGGATAAAAAAAAAAAAACCCACCATGTTCTTACCCATTTTCCGAGCTTTCCAACACCTTTTTTTTGGCTTTTTGGGTCATATCCGAAGATGCACAGGGGTTACTCCTGGCTCATGCACTCAGAAATTACTCCTGAAGGTGCCTGGGGGACCATATGGGATGCTGGGAATCAAACCCGGGTAGGCTGGGTGCAAGACAAACACCCTACTTGCTGTGCTATTGCTCCAGCCCCTCCAACACCATTTCTTAAAGCCATCCATCTAGTCCTGGTGATGGTCTAAATCTCATCTTTGAGGGGCTGGAGACTGACTCTTAAATAACACACCTTTATTAGCACAGCTAAGTAGCACAGCTCTTTATTAAAAGTCTTTCTTGGGCCAGAGATGGAACAGCAGTTAGGTGCTTGCTTGCATGTGATCAACCCCAGTTGTATGTCCAGCTTAGCTTTGTGAAAATATTCATTCTCATACCTTAGACTTCCACTGTCAACATTTTTTTTTTCAAATCGAAAGCTTATTAGAAAGTAGAAGGGAAAGTAAAAGAAACTCCCCAGCCAGGAAAGAATTAAGTATAAGACTAACTTCCCATTGTCAACAAAAATTTTAACCTTACTCATGTTTCTGCTGGAGCGATAGCACAGCGGGTAGGGCGTTTGCCTTACAAGCGGCCAACATGGCCGACCCGAGTTCGATTCCTCCGCCCCTCTCGGAGAGCCCGGCAAGCTACTGAGAGTATTCCATATGCCAGACACAGTAACAACAAAGTTTCCAAATGGAGACGTTACTGGGCCCACTCGAGCAAATCGATGATCAACGGGAGGGCCTCATATGTTTCTAAAAATGTTAGGTACATATTCGCAGTACTAACAACTGTCAAATGACAAAGAAACTTTGCCTTTAAGCATCAGGTTAAAATCAAACACCAGAGACAAACTTGTTTTGCTACGCCTCCTGAACCTTTAACAGTTTCCTAAATTCCAGATTTGATTTTTGAAAAACACTAAGTATCAGTAATTAGTGCAAGCTGACGTTCCTTTAATCAAACATTTTCCCTCGTCAACTTTAGAGAACTATTAGGCAGAATTTCAAGTCAGTGTTGTTCCACAGGTGTCTGGGTTTTTTTTTTTTAGTAAGTGGGACCTAATTTAACATTTAAGACAAACACAATAGAAATAATATACATAATTTTATTACAAAAATTTTTTTAAAAAACAAAATGCAACATTCTAAAAAAACCCAAAATTTGCTATCATACTAATTCCTACAGATTTGCAGCGCTACCAATACACGAGTCAAAAAATTAAGGAAACCATTAAATATTTAGAAACATTCAACGTCAGAAGCTTTAAAATCTAACTATGTAGTAGCCCCTCAAAAAGCTACAGCCTGCATTTTTTTAAAAAAGTATTTTCTCTACAAAGAATTTTATCAGCTATACAAAAATCTGTACAGTTTTTATACTGAAGCTAATATTGAGCTGCACTTGAATTCACATTCTTAGCAAAACAATTGCCTGAGCAAACACACACACACTCCATACATATTACAGGATAGCCATTTATTCTTCATCTTCCTCCTCTTCTTCCTCTTCCTCTTCCTCCTCCTCCTCCTCTTCCTCATCTTCTGGCTCATTCTTCTTCTTTGAGCCCGTTGGCCTGCCGGGACCTTTCTTTCCCACTTCACTTTTGCCCTTGGCACGGTATGCAGCAATATCCTGAAATTTAAAAAAATAAATAAAAACATAACACACACACACCAACACACAACCAGCTTCCGGTGTCATTACTCAACTGTGAAAAACCACCGAGCTGTAAACAACCGAAGATGATTGACCAACAACCCTAAAGACAGTCTTCCGCGTAACTCAATTTCAAGTATCTGCTCCCCTACCCTTGAGAAAACCGGTGATGCAAAAACGAGATTGCAGGACCTCAAGGTCGGTACTTGCTTGCACCACCCTTTACTTCACAGCGGGGGGGGGGGGGGGCAACACTTCCGGTTTGCTACAACTCGTTCTGGTTTGCTACAACTATGTTCTCTCCCTGCAGAAACGCCTCCTTAAAAACGTCCCACGTTAAAGAGACCAACCTCACCGCGAGCGCACCCATTCGCAAGGATCTACCCGCGCTCGCAGGCCAAAAGTTGCGACCCATCTGGGGCCGAGCCCACAACAGCCCCGAGACACTTGCACACTGCCTTCCGCCGTCAATGCATCCATCGCCCCCCCCCCCCCCCCCCCCCGCGCCGCTGAGCACTTCATTTGGCAAACAACCCCCTCCCCCTCCTCCCAAGGCCAAACCCGGCCTTCCTCGGAAGCGCCCCCAGGCCACGCACCTTTTCGTATTTCTCCTTGAGCTTCGCCGCTTTCTGTTCGTACGGCTGCTTGTCCTTGGCCGACTGTTCCGACCACATCTCCCCCAGCTTCTTGGCCGTGTCGCCGATGGACAGGCCGGGGTGCTCGCTCTTGATCTTGGGGCGGTACTCGGAGCAAAACAGGAAGAAGGCAGACCTGAAAGGAAGCGGGAGCCGGCCGGGCGTGAGCAAGGGGCGGGAGTGGGGGCTGGCCAACACGGGGCTTCCCTCTCGGACCCCCTTCTCCTTACGGGGGCCTTTTCGGCGCGTTGGGGTCTTTCTTCTTGCCCTTCTTGTCCACCTTGGACGGCACGTAATTCTTCATCTCCCTGTCGTAGCGGGCCTTGTCACTCTTGGCCATGTCTTCAAACTTGGACTTCTCCTTGGCCGACATGGTCTGGGGGGGAGGGGGCGCGGAAAGGGTTAGGGGCATGTGGGGGGTACAAGTGACTCGACCTGCTCCCCCTCCCCCCAAAGCGCCCAGAGTGCACCCCGGAGGTCTGCCAAGATGCAGCCGCGACCCGATGATGCCCCAGCAATTCTGGAGTCCGGGAATCTTCCCAATCGAATGATCTGGGCGAGCGGAAAAAGGGAGACGCTGACTTGCCCGCCGGATGATTCGCCCCCGTCAGGAAGAATTAGGGGAAAAAAATTGGAGGCGGGGGTTGGGGGGGCGCCCGCCGCCGCGCCCCGCGCTGCTCACCTTCCATCTCTCCGAGCACTTCTTGGAGAATTCGGCGAAGTTGACCGTCGAGTCGGGGTGCTTCTTCTTGTGCTCCTCCCGGCACGTCTGCACGAAGAAGGCGTACGAGGACATCTTGCCCCTCGGCTTGTTGGGGTCTCCCTTGCCCATGGCGACGGGACGGCGTCTCCCTGGCGCGGAGAAAGACGGCGGGTGGGCGCGGGGCTGGGCGCGGCGCCGACGGGCGGGGCTCGGCTTCCCGCCCAAACCCGCGCCCGCGCGCCCCGCCAACCCCCGCCGCCGCCGCCGTCGCCGTCGCCCCGGGCCCGGCCGGCCTCGCCCGCCCGTCCGCCCGCCAGCCTCGCCCGCCCGTCCGCCCGCCAGCCTCGCGGCTCCGCCGCGCCGCCCGGCCCCCCGCGTCCCGCAACCCCGACCGCCCGCCCCGGCCCCGGCCCCGGCCCCGGCCCGGGCCCCCGGCCCCGGCTCCGCTCGCCCGCGCCGAGCCCGAGAGCCGCAGCCCCCCAGCCGGACGGAGGGCAAGGGGAGGCGCGGCCGGCCTGGAAGCGGCGGAGGCCAGCGGCGCTGCTTGCCTGCTTGCTGGCCTTTCCTCAGAGTGCGCCGAGCGGCCGCGTCCGCCTCAGCCGCCGCCTTGCACAGGCTCCGGCGCGAACTGGTTTCTCGCTAACGCAATCCTCCAGCCTCTTGTTTTGCAGAGTTCTCCGCGCCACGGCAGCTTGACGGGCAGAGCCCCAGGCCACACCCTCGCCCCTCCGGATTGGCCCGCAGGAGTATTCAAACGCGGACAAGTCCCGCCCTCCCCTCAGGCCGACTTCCTATTGGTCGGGGTCTCGCCGGGCCCCGCCCACCCGCCGGAGCCTAGCAGGTTCGGTGGCTCGCCCAGGTCGTTAACTCCCAGACCCGTTAGAACCGGTCAGGAGAGGAATGTACTGCTCGCTCCTGATTGGCGGCGGGAAAAAAGGTTTGAAAAATGGCGGGCCCGGCGCTGACTGGCTGGAGCGGCCCCCGGGAGGCGTGGCCGGCCCGAAAGGGAAAGCCCCGCCAGATTTAAAAATACCCGGTCGGGCGCCGGAGGCCGCTTCTCCCGGGCCGGCGACCGCGGCGGCGCTTCCGCGAGCCGATCCTGAGGTAACAGGAGCAGCCGCGGCGCGGCCCCTGCTCGGCCCCGCGGGGGCCCCTTTCCCGGTGCCCCCGCTCCCTGTCATCACAAACGCGGGGGGGACGCCGAGGAGCCGCGGATGGCGCTCACCGAGGCTCGGCTGGGAGAGGCGGCGGGGCCCCCGCGCGAGGATCGCCAGGAAACGGGGCGCCGTTTCCGCCGCCTGCCGGGGGCGGGGGGGTCGCCGAACGGCGCGGTGCCCCGGGAAGCCTCTCCTCCCCCGCCCCCCGCGCCTTTTGTCTCCGGTGTCGAGCAGCCGGGTCGGGGGGAGACAACGAGGGCGCCCGAAGTAGGGGTGCAGCCCGGCCCGCCCCCGCCTGAGCTGCCTCGCTGCTCCCTCCGTGCTGTTCGCCGAGGCGTTTTTTTCAGCAACGTTCGCATAAAGGGTCTTCGGAGAGCCCCACCCCCCAACCCGCAGCCGACCCCTATAAAGCCCTGGACGCCCCCTCCTCGGCCCCCACCCCGTTCCCCCCGGTGAGGCTGGGAAGCGGGGTGCCTTGGGATGGGGTCGGGTTGAGGGGTAGAATCTCCCAAAAGTGACCCCGACCCTCGCGTGGGGCCGCCCCCGTGTGTGCGTGTGCGTGCACCCCCCCCCTTTTATCCGAGGGGCAGCGGCCAGAGCGAGCAGAGAAACTTAGAGCCAGGGTTTGGGGACCATGCGAGCGCAGTGGGGCCAGGGGGCGCGGGTTAGGAAATGAAAAGCCTAGAAGTGCCCCCCCACCCACCCCGGTGCTGGAGAGGTGTCTGCTGCTGTTTGGGTGAAGGCCGCCGCGTCCCCTCCGTCAGGAGGGCCGGGTGCTTTGCGGGTGGAAGCACGGTTTGAGACGACGGTGGGCTTTACGTAAGACAAGATCAGACTGCCCCTGGGCGGGCCCCTGATCTATGTAACTGTAGTCCCCGTCTGAAAGGGGAGTTGGACTGGGGGCCCCGGGAGGTGGTGCAGTGGGTGGGGTGCCCACCCAGGTTCAGTCTCAGGCATCCCGGATGCTCACCTGAGCCGGCCAGGAGTGAACCTTGACCACAAGACCCAGGAGAAAGCTCAAGGAAATATTGGGGGAGGGGACTTGAGGGAACTACACCTGGCAGTGCTCAGGGGCTACTCCCAGTTCTGTGCTCGGGGTTTGCTCCTGGTGTTGCTCAGGGTACCACTCCGTGCTGCGTTGGAACCCTGTACAAAGGCCTCCTGTACAAAGTTTAAAGTGTTTGTTTGCCTTGCAGGTGGCCATCCGGGATTTGATCTCGGCATCCCATTTGGTCCCTGGTTCACCGCCAGGAGTGAATCCTGAGTGCAAAGTCAGGAGTAACCCCTAAACATTGCCAGGTGTGGCCCTAAAACCAAACACACACACCACACAACCTTTTCCTAATAGATACTATATACAAAAAAATCTGGTCGCAATCCTAGTTATTGTTTTCCAATGATGGATAAAATAAACACGGGTCTTTCACTATTATTTACTTGGCATCCTTTATCAGAAAATCAAAATATCCTAACAAGGGGTAATGGTAAAAAGATCATCCTTACTGTGTTTCTGTCTCTTACATTTCTAACTGGAAAGGCAAGATTGAATACTTAAAATTCAAAACCTTTAAAAACTGTTTCCAAATATAAAATAACATAATAGGAGACTACTACCGAAAGACAGTAGAGATAAGGTTCAGAAAGATCCCGCGGTTGGAAGCCTGCCTCATGAGTTGGGGAAGAAGTCAGCTGGGATAGAGAAGGGATCACTAAGTTAATGATGGTTGGAGGCATCGCTCGGGATGGGAGCTGTGTGCTGAAAGTAGATAAAGGACTAAATGTGATAGCCTCTCAGTATCTGTTTTGCAAACCATAATGCCCCAAAGTAGAGAGAGTAAGAGGGAACTTGTCTGTCAGAGACAGGTGTGGGGGTGGAAGAGACTGGGAACATTGGTGGTGGAAAATGGACACTGGTGGAGGGATGGGTGCTCGATCATTGTATGACTGAAACTCAAACATGAATGCTTTGTAACTAGCTCACAGTGATTCAATAAAAAAATAAAAATTAAAACCATTTTCAAACATATCAATTTCATGTATTTTTTTTTCCTTTTTGGTCACACCCAGGGATGCTCAGGGGTTGCTCGTGGCTCTACACTCAGGAATTCCTCCTGGCAGTGCTTGGGGGACCATATGGGATGCCGGGGATTGAACCCGGGTTGGCTGCGTGCAAGGCAAACACAATTTTATATATTCTTTAAAAAAATGCCAAAATATAATTTTGTCAGAATCACCTCTGAAATGATAAGGAGGAAAGTGTTTCTGTTCTTCATTAAACTGTGTACAAATTAAAATTCATTAAGAGCTTCTCATTTGAAATGGTGTACTTGACATTGCTAAGCTTTTGACTGACAGTCTTTTAAATGAGATTGGTCTCTAAAGCATCATTCACCTCTTAAGTTGAATAATTCTCTAATTCTCCGGCTATGTGATTGTAATGAAGGCAAATATTAATGTGGGGGGCTTGAGGGAACCACACCTGGCAGTGCTCAGGGGCTACTCCCAGCTCTGCTCCAGAATTGCTCCTGGTATTGCCCAGGGGACCACTTCATGCAGTGTTGGAACTGAGCCTTCTACATGCAAAGTATGTGCTCAACCTGTTGAGTTCTCTGTCCTGCCCAGGAATTTGATTTAACCTTTGCAATTGTTAATTGGTAAGGAAATTAAAATCGGAATTTGAAAAGGCACAGGGAGGCCCAGGACGGTAGCTCAGTGGTAGCACACTTGCCTTGTATGCGAGGCCCTAGGTTTAAACTCCAGCATCGTATCCATGCACAGACAAATTTTTTAAATCTATAACTTAGATTCTAAAAACTTCTTGTAAGTGGGACCAGAATGATAGTATAGTGGGTAGGGTGCTTGCCTTCCGTGTGTCCAACCTGGGTTTGATCCCTGGCAGCCAGTATGGTCTCTTGAGCACCACCAGGAGTGATTCCTGAGTGCAAAACCAGGAAGCCCTGAACATCATTTGGTGTGCACCTTCCTCGCCCTCTCCCCGCCCCCGCCAAAAATTTTTTTAAATAATTATTTCTTGTAAGAATACCAATTAGTTGGGGCTGGAGCAATAGCACAGTGGGAAGGGTGGTTGCCCTGCACACAGCCGACCGGGTTCAATTCCCAGCATCCCATATGGTCCCCTGAGCACTGCCAGAAATGATTCCTGAGTACATGAGCCAGGAGTAACCCCTGTGCATTGCCAAGTGTGACCCCAAAAAGCAAAAAAAAAAAAAGTACCAATTCACTATGAACCTGGTTACTTCAAAGTATGGCAAAATAAAAATACTGCTTCCTACCCAAGTATCTATAAATTATATATACCAAGTTTTAGCTTACTTAGTATTGCTAAAATCTTCTAATAAAAGTATTTCACTTTATTTGTCAAACTTTGCCTGAGTTTATCATTTCACAAATGATAAATATTTACCAGTAAACTATCTTGAATTAGAATAAACCTATTTATAGAGATTTCTAAATTCCCTATCTTCTAGCTATTCTGTAGATAGCTGATTTATCAATAGCAATGTTAATATAGCACTATTTTGTTGAGTTATTCGGCTCTGGGTTATGCTATTGAAATTCCTATAATTTGTTCTGTAAGTCTTTCTAAAAACTTAATTTAATTATAAAACTAATTTAGAAAACCCTGCACTCCAGGGCCCAAGCAAGCACAGCATCCTCAGCCCCCAGCCTTGAACTATAGACCCAGTTGGCCAGATGTGGTCGTGGCCCCACGAGCACCACTTGGGAGAACCCCTAAAATAAAACGATCTAAAACACACTCTGCTACCACCAGAGCAATTCCAAGCACAGCCGGGTGTGACCCCAAAGAAGAAAGGTAATCTGTGCTAAAAAGTCAATAACTGATGGCTCCTAAACATAGGAAGACATTTAACATCATGAATGATTAAAGAAACGCCAGTTAAGATGCCACTAAAATGCCTATACTACAAGAGACAAAGTAGAAGTAGTGAAAATGTAGAAAAATGGGAATACTTTTAACACCCCGATGAGAATAGAAAATACAGTCACTACAGAAAAGTGTTGACAGTTTCTCAAAATTTAAACATACCCAACAAGTCCATTCCTCAGCTTTTACGCAAGAATCTACACAGACAAAATCCTGTGTCCATAAAAGTGACTTTTACATGAATATTTATGGCAGTTTTTCTTGTCTTAGTCAAAACCTAGAAAAATCAAATACCCATTAATGAAAAAAAAATATATGGTAGGCCGTTTGCCTTGCATGCGGACGACATGGCTGACCCGAGTTCGATTGCTCCGCCCCTCTCGGAGAGCCCGGCAAGCTACCGAGAGAATCTTGCCCGCACAAGCAGAGCCTGGCATATGCCAAACACAGTAACAAGTCTCACAATGTTACTGGGCCCGCTTGAGCAAATTGATGAACAATGGGAGGACAATGACAGTGACAGATGGCATGTCCGTTCAATAATTATGGCTCATAGTTATTGAGTGGAGAGAAAAATAAGTGGAGAGAAAAGGAACAAACACTGATCCATGCTG